GAACACCTCTGTATGCCAAAGTATTGTAGATTCAGATGTGAGGATGTCTGTCTAACTTGGCTCACAGCTTGCCTTGTATTAATGTAAAGGTAACCAGTGCTGATAGATTACTGAAGTTGAATCATCAACTTCTGCTTTGAGGTTCTCAGTGTCTCTATTTACTTCTCTAAATTGTTTAGAGCAACCGGAGCTCATCTAACCTGTATAGTCTGCATGGCGTGATGTGCAGGGTCCTGAGCCGAGACCAGCTGTGAGCACGGCAGCAGCAACTCTCTGGAGACCACAGGCTTCAGCAGCAGGGACAGAGATGAAGATGGCTGGAGGATGTAGTGGGAATACACACCTGTGTTGGACACATACTATGATTGTTCACGAATGAACTTGATAAACAGTCATCTCTCTCACATATAAACATAAACACAAATACACACATGGACCTGAGGCTCCAGCTGCAGACTTCTGAGCCGGCTCCACCTGCAGCAGCAGGAACAGGTCACGACTCTGAAAGAGAGAAATCAAAAACTTTTCGAACCGCGGAGGGATATGCAGAATCTTGCAAGGCTGACAAGCTAAAATGAAAAGACGATCAAATGGTCCGAACAATTTTATGCTATGTTATTACTGCAGAAACATTGGGATGCTGTGTAAAATGTAAACATATCTTAAACACATCAAATGTTCAAACTGGGACGTTTGACTATTTCATGAAAAAAACAACAGAGAACATTTGAATTTAATGGCAGCAACACATCTCAAAAATGGGGCAACAAAAAGACTGGAAAAGTGTTACTGAAAAACAGCTGGAGGAACATTTTGGAACTATTTATATTAACTGGAAACAGAGAAAGAGCACCTTAGAGAGCCCGAGTTTCTTAGATGCAAAGATGGGCAAACGTTCGCCTTTCTGCAAAAAAACTGCATCTACAAAGCGGGGATTGCTTTCAGAATAACATGCCTCAGCATTAAAATTGGGAAGTCTTTGAACATCTCATCAATAATATACAGTACATTATATCATCAAATGATTCGGAGAATCTGGAGAAATCTCTGTGTGCAAGTGACAAGGCTGAAAATCCACATTGTATGCCTGTGATCTTTGGGCTCTCGGGCAGCACTGTGTTAAAAACAGAAGCAGAAGCAGATAAATTAACTTCAGTAGTGTATTAGCACCAGTTACATTAATATAGGGAACCAAAGAAGTATTAAAGTTGAGGGATATAAGCCATTATATCTGAGGTAAAGTTGGAATCCAAATACAGAAAAAGGCTCAATGTGGCTCTTATTTACAGATACTCAGAATCATGTAAATATAAAGTACACAGTTTCATTTCTGAGCTTTTATGCATTAGGACATACTGGTACCAGCTCTTTATGATTATGTTTGACTACATGGGCTTAGGGACACTTCCAGGAAGTTCACTGAGTCGTCCACAAATTCCCTTCCTGTCTTTATCATGCAGAGAAGAAGTTGCGCAGTATGTGAACATGATCCAGAAACCTCTTCTCTGGGTTAAAGCTAAAATGGACAACTGTTGTGTGGTCAGATGAATTTATTGTGAAATTCCTTTGGGGAAAAAAAGCTACATCATCCAGACTAAAGAGCAGAGACCTGACAGCTTGTTATCATCATTATCATTTTAAAAAGTCTTGCATATTTCAGTCATATTTTCAGCCAATGTTAAATCACATGCTGCAGCTAATCCAACAGCATGGCTTCGCAGCAGAAGAGTCTGGGTGCTGAACTGCCTTGCCACCAGTCCAGACCTTTCACCAGTTGAAAACATGAAATGAAAATACAACAAGAAGACGTGGGACTGCTGAGTAGCTAGAATCCTTTATCAGACAAGAACGGGACAACATTCCTCTCTCGAATGTGAAGCAACCGGTCTCTGCAGCTCGCAGACAGTTTAAAATACCCGCCACCTCTAACCCTAGATGCACCTTTGGTAACAATTAAAAATTCTAGATGATTTTCAGAAAAGTTGACCTCTGACCTCTAACATGTCTGAGATTTTTAAGTAGATCCACCTGAGCTATCAATTTGAAAGTCCTCTGTCACCTCGTTCTTAAGTAAGACGGCGCTGGCACGGCTGGCAGCCTTAACCCAATTTCCCTCAGGATGAATAAAGTATGATCAATCAATCAAGTTATCACATTCAAGAAATCGCATTTTCAGAAAATGTGACCTTTGCACTTGAATTCGCACAACTTTCCAGTGTTTTTGGTGTTGGTTTGTATGAGTTGAGAATCACAACCGTCAAACAAAAGCACAAACATGAATATGATTGCTCTATTTTACCATGACTCCCACGTTCCCACATTCGCTAAAACGGGAACCAGATTTGCATTATGCAAATTCTTTCATGTAGACTGGTCAAATGGGTTTTACTTCTGCATCACATGCGGCCATAAAATGTCAGTTTCTCTTAATAAAGACAATTGTCACAAGATGAAAAAACAGAAACTACACCCTGAGTGTGTGGCAGAGGGCATGGAACAAGTTCTGGTTGTTCTCCATTTCATCCCAGTCCAGCTGCCAGCAGGTGGTTGGGCGGATCACCAGCGGAAGGCCGTACAACACACTCTCACACACTCCGTCTGCACGCAGAACTCTGAAAGACACACACACACACACACACAC